TTGCAGACACAAATGTTCATAGTAGCATTATTCATAATAGCTCCAAAGTAGAAAAAAATTCTATAAACTGATTAATGAATAAATAAAATGTGGTAGATCCATTCAATGGAATATTATTCAGCAATAAAAAGGAGTGAAGTATTGATGCATGCTACAATATGCATGGACTTTAAAAACATTATGCTAGGGCCGGGCCCATGGCTTAGCAGTTAAGTGCACGCACTCCACTACTGGTGGCCTGGGTTCGGATCCCAGGCACGCACCAGTGCACCGCTTCTCCGGCCATGCTGAAGCCACGTCCCACATACAGCAACCAGAAGGATGTGCAACTATGACATACAGCTATCTACTGGGGCTTTGGGGGAAGAAAAGGAGAAGGATTGGCAACACATGTTAGCTCAGAGCCGGTCTTCCTCAGCAAAAAGAGGAGGATTGGCACGGATGTTAGGGCTGATCTTCCTCACACACACACACAAAAAAACACTATGCTAAGTGAAAGAAGCCAGTCACAAAAGACTACATACCATATGATTGCATTTCTATGAAAAGTCCAGAGTAGGTAAATCTACAGAGACTAAAAATAGATTAGGGGTTGCTTAGGGTGGATGTTGGTGGAAAATGGGGAGTGACTGCTAATGGATACAGGGTTTCTTTATGAGGTGATAAAAATGTTCTAAAATTTATTGTGGTGATGGTTGCATAACTCAGGAATATACCAAAAACAATTGAATTGCATGCTTTAAATGGATGAATTGTAACTCAATACAGCTGTTTTTTAAAAAAGATAACTAAAGCAAAAATAATAGCAGTGTATTGTGGAGTATATTTCATATTTAGAATTAAAACCTATCACAACAATAGCATAAAACATGGAAAGGGAAAACTGAAATAGGCTATTGTAAAGTTCTCATATTGTACATGAAATGGGATAATATTATTTGAATGTAGACTGTGATAAGTTAACGATACGTATTGTAAACCTTAAACTCACCACTAAGTGTACCAAGAGGTATTATTATTTAATGGAATAATATTCCATTGAATGTATCTACCACATTTTATTTAACTCATAAGTGAATAATGACTATGAAATTGACTCATAAAAATTCTCAATCTGAAAGAAGGGAAGAAAGAACAGATGGAACAAATAGAAAAAAAATAGCACTACCATATGATCCATCAATTCCACTTCTGGGTATTTATCCAAAGAAAATGAAAACACTAATTCAAAAAGATATACGCACCTCTATGTTCATTGCAGCATTATTTACAGTAGCCAAGACATGGAAGCAACCTAAGTGCCCATCAATGGATGAATGAATAAAGAAGATGTGGGGTACATATATATATATAATATTATATTATATATACACAATGGAATATTACTCAGCCACAAAAAAGAATGAAATCTTACCATTTGTGACAACGTGGATGGACCTTGAGGGCATTATGCTAAGCAAAATAAGTCAGAGAAAGAGAAATACTGTATGATTTCACTTATATATGGAACCTAAAAAAAGAAAAAAAAAAACTAACAAAACAGAAACAGACTCACAGATACAGAGAATAAACTAGTGGTTGCCAGAGGGAAGGGGTTGGGGCATTGGGCAAAACAGCTGAAGAGGATTAAGAGGTACAAACTTCCAGTTATTCATGAAGATATAATATACAGCATAGAAAATATAGTCAATAATATTGTCATAATTTTGTATGGTGGTAGATGATAACTAGAAATATTGTGGTCATCATTTTATAATGTATAAAAATATTGAATCACTATGGTGTACATCTGAAACTAATATAATACTGTACTTCAATTATACTTCAATCAAAAAAAAAAGACCCTATCTCAAAAAAAAAAAAAAAAAGGAAGAAAACAAAAAGCAAGATGGTAGATTTAGATCCAACATTATTGATCATTACATTACAGACTAAATACTCCAATTAAAAGCAGAGATTGTCAGACTTGATAAAAAAGTAAGTCCCTACAATATGCCACCTACATGAAACACTGAAAATAAAGATGAATATAGACAAAAAGTAAAAGAACGGAAAAAGAGATATCACACATTCTCTAATCTAGAGAAATTTAAATGGCTATATTAATATCAAAGTACACTTCAGAAAAAGGAATATTACCAGAGATAAAGAGGGACATTACATGTTAGAAAAGGGATTGATTCATCAGGGAAACAATCCTAACTGTATACACACTTAATTACAGAGTTTTAAAATACCTGAAGCAAAAACTGACAGAACTGAAAGGAGAAATAGATAAACCTAAAATTAGAGTTGGAGACTTTAAACACTCTTCTTCCAGCAAATAATAGGACAAGTAGACAAAAAAAATCATAAGAATAGTTAGATTTGAATAATATTATTGACAAAGTTGTCCTAATTGACAGTCATAGAATGGTTGGAGGTTTCAACATCCCTCTCTCAGCAACTGATAAGAACATTTAGAGAAAAGAAATCAGTAAAAATATATAATATACAGTAAAGATATAGAAGATATTAAGTGTCTTTCAAAAAAGATACAATCCATTTGACCTAACTGATATTTATAGAACACTCCACTCAACAAAAGCAGAATACACATTCTTTTCAAGTGCACACAGAATATTTACCAAGATAGATCGTATTCATATCCATAAAACAAGTTTCAGTACATTTAAAAGGATTGAAATCATGTAAAGTTGTTCTTTGACCACAATGGAATTAACTGAAACTTAATAACAGGAAGATGCGTGGAAAAGTCCACAATATTTCAAAACTAAGCACAGCCATGGTCAAAAACCATGGGTCAAAGAAGAAATCACACAGGAAATTAGAAAATATTTTCTTTTTTTTTTGTTTGTGAGGAAGATCGGCCCTGAGCTAACATCTGCCAATCCTCCTCTTTTTTTGCTGAGGAAGACTGGTCCTGGGCTGACATCCATGCCCATCTTCCTCTACTTTATATGGGACGCCGCCACAGCATGGCTCAGGAAGCGGTGTGTCTGTGCGTGTCCGGGATCCGAACCAGCGAACCCCGGGCCACCGCAGCGGAGCGTGAGCACTTAACCGCTTGCACTACCGGGCCAGCCCCAGAAAATATTTTCAACTGGTTGAAAAAGAAGACACAACATATCAAGTTTGTGAGATGCAGCTAAAGCAGGGCTTAGAGAAAAATGAATAACGTTAAGTGCTTACATATGAAAACAGAAAAATCTCAAATCAATTATCGAAGTTTAAGAAACTAGAAAAAGAAGAGCAAGTTAAACTTAGAAAACTAGAAGGAAGGAGGGCCAGCCCTGTGGCTTAGCGGTTAAGTGTGCATGCTCCGCTACTGGCGGCCTGGGGTTCGGATCCCGGGCGGACACCCACTTACCGCTTCTCCGGCCATGCTGAGGCCGCGTCCCACGTACAGCAACTACAAGGATGTGCAACTATAACATACAACTATCTACTGGGGCTTTGGGGAAAAAAAGGAGGAGGATTTGGAAATAGATGTTAACTCAGAGCAGCCGGTCTTCCTCAGCAAAAAGAGGAGGATTAGCATTGATGTTAGCTCAGGGCTGATCTTCCTCACACACACACAAAAAAAACTAGAAGGAAGGAAATGATAGATATAAGAGAAGTAATTAATGAAATAGAAAATGAATAAAAACAATGGAGAAAATGAATAAAACCCAAAGGCGGTTCTTTGAAAAAATAATAAAATTGATAAACCTCTAGCTCAGAGATTGGTTAACTTTTTCTATAAAGGGCCAGATAATAAATATTTTAGACTTTGTGAGCCATACAATCTACTTAACTTACAAGTCCTGACCTCTGACACTGTAGCATGAAAGGAGGTATAACCAGCATGTAAACAAATGTGTGTGGCTGTGTTCCAGCACATTCCATTTACCAAAACAGGCAGCAGGACAGATTTAGCATAAAAGCTGAAGTTTACCCATCTTTACTCTAGCCAGACTGACATGGGAAAGAGAGACAGACAGACCACAAATTACCAAAATCAGGAAGGGAAAATAGGCATCACTACAGACTGTACAGACTCCATGATCAGCCAGTCACCCCAACAATACTTAGCCCACCCCTAACCCTGTCCATGGGGCAGGCCAGGATGCAGAAACCATGTGGCTGCAGTGTTGACATACATTGATTAACTAATTTATGCTAACAGGCAAAACAAAGATCCCTGCCCTCATGGAACTTATCTTTTAGTCAGGGAGACTGAGAATAAACAATGTATACAATGCATTAGTAGATTATCTTGTATATTAGAAGCTGGTAAGAACTGTGAAGAAAAAAAGAAAGCAGGACAGGGAAGGAGCGTGGCAGTGCTGGGAGTATTAAATGGTGTGAGACCCAGGAAGGTCTCACTGAGGAAGCAGCATTTGAGCAAACACCTGAAGGCAGAAACGGAGCAAGCCAAGGGAAGAGTGCCTGGACCGAGAGAACAGCCACGGGACGGGCCCAGAGGCAGAGCGATCCCTGGCACATCTAAGAAACAGCAAAAGCCAGAGTACTTTGAGTGGAAAGAATAAAGGGGACAGAGGTGGGAAGAGAGAGCACAGCTGTACCAGGGAAGCTGCAGTATAGGGCCTTATGGTCTATGGTGCGGTATGGGGTGGGAAGACTGGCAGGAGAGGGGTTGCCAACACTGGAGGGAGGCACTGCATGGATAAAAGGGAAAAGATCAACAACAAATTAAAGAGAGTAATAGTGGGCTTTCAACAAAGCTACAGTGAGGTCACTCCAAGAACTGGACCCTTGAGTCATGGGATCAGGGAGGAGCTAGCAAGATTTCTCCTGCCACCCGCCTGCACAAGGAAAGGCATTCTAGAGGTAAACAACACCTACCCGCCCATTCTCCGTCTCTCCACACGCCATCAAGATCACCTAGACAAGAGGAGTCAGGGGAGAGGGAGGTGATTTGGATTAGGGGGTGGGGGAAATGGGGTGAAGGGAGGACTCAGAACCCAGGCCCCACCTCACACTCCCCCAAAGCTGACCTTGACTCCAAACTCCCAGACCATGCGCCAGAAGTCTAGCAAGGTGTGAGGCAGGGGGCCCTGCGTGGCGATGTAGGCCTGGCTTCCGTCTGTGCCCTGGTAAAGGCTGAGTTCACTACCGAGGTCCCGCGGTTGCCCCCACCACAGCCGCCCCTTTCCTGACTCCCAGCCTGACCCGGATGAAGTTGCCATTGATGTAGTCGCCGTGTCCCTCCTCCTGGAGCAGAGAGAGGATCACTCTTGTCTGATCATCTGCCAGCGGGAGAGGTGAGAAACGTGTAGTTTGGGGGTGACAGGGGCATCAAGGCCCTGACAGGCTCCTGCATGAAAGCCAGCATGGGGCAGCACACCTCGCAAGGATCCCCCTGGGGGGCACTCCAGGCTGCTCGGGAGAAATGCAGCCGCGGCAAAGCTCTGGGAGAGAGAGCGCTGCAGTATACGGTGACCCTGGACTGCACGGGGTGGGGGGCGAGTGCGGAGCCGCACCAACTCCTCGGAAGCCCCCGACTTACATGGCAGCACGTCTTTGTAGCGGTTCTTTCTCACGTTCCCTGGCCGACTGCCAGCCTCGGTGGAGCACAGGTTGCTACTCTTCCAGGCGGCTGAGCGGGCCCGGATGTCCTGGCGAGAGGCACCGTGAGCGACCGGGAGGAGAGAGGAGCCAGGTCAGAGTCCAGGCTGATTGTAATGATACAATAATAACAGCGGCTCAGAGCGCCTTCTCTGTGCTAAGGGCACTGAATCATCACAAGGTCCCTCTGAAGTGGGTTCTATTATCGACGTCCCCATTGTGCTGGGGGAGAAAGCTGGCGCACCACATGGCTGAGAGACTTGCAGAAAGTCCCACCCAAAGTGGAAGTGGCACAGTGAGGGTTGAACTCAGACCTCTCAGCATCCACTCCGTATTACACTGTATTGTAATACACTAATTGTAATGTATTATGTATTTAACAGAACAAACACGATATGATATATATGACAATATACAATGTGTATGAATTATAATGTATAACATTATTTATGTAACAAGATACTATAGGTACTTTATTATTGTTAGATTATTACAATTAGTGAATAGTACATTACCATCATCATCAGTTATTCATAATCATGGCGACATAAGTAACAGCTACCAAGCCACCAGTGGGTTTGAGCCACCATTCTAAGTGCTTTACTTGTGCCCATCCTGTCATTTAAAAACTCATGGACATCCTAGTGTAGTGGGGACCACTATTGATGTTTCTACTATACAGATGAGGAAACCACCACCCAGAAAAGGCCTAAAGACTCCTGTGAGTGCAGGCACTGCCCACCACCTGGCCCTCGGACCAGGGGTCCTCAGCAGGGCTCACTGTCCCAGACTGGGCCAGACCGGACGGGCATGACACTGTATGCCACCTGGGTATTATATGTTTACATTTACTAGATACATTTTCATATTGAACAAATGATATATTTTGCATTTATTATACATTTCTTAGATACAGTATCTTTTTATATTTGTGTAAATTACTTAGATTTATATTATAGTACTTTTATCTATGTGTTACATATTTTATATTTACTTAGGAACTTATTGAATAACTGCTTATTTTATAAATTATAATTTTATATGCTGTATTTATGTTCTGTTGTTTTATGAAGTTAAATGTTTATTGAGTAAATTGTAATTTAAAATCATTAATTTTACATAGTCATTGTATTTTATACTTAAAATTAATAAATTTGTTTCTATTTATTTTTATCATACTTAGTGATTATAGTCATTTATTATATATTTATATCATATATTTATCAAACATTTTTATATATTTATTATATATCACATCTTTCTAAATTTGATATATGTCACCATATATTGCATTTACATACTTGCATAGCATATATTTGTTACATAAGTTACTGTATTTAAAACATCTCATTAGGCGTGGTATGCAGTGCCTACCACGCTGCAATAGCATTCCTTAAGTGTGGCTTGCACTACCTCATTGTAATGTTTAGAATATTTATAACTAATGACAAAGGCTCCTACAAAGTGAGCGCTCAAGATGTGCTAAGCGCTTTTTACCCATCCCAGTTATTTAATCCTTTAAATCTTTAACGTCCCTATTTCACCCAAAGAGAAACAGAGGCCAGAGGGGCTGGGTAATCCGCCCCGGGCCACAAAGCCGACAAGAGGACAGTGGCCACACCCTCGGCGCACAGGGCCTCTTGGTTCTTCTTCCCCCAGCCCCTCCCTTCCCAAGACCACAGAGGTGACCGCCGGGTCGCCTGGAGCGCAGGTGCGCGCCCGCCCTCCCCAGCCGCTCCGCCCAGCAGCGGGATTGTTCCGAGCGCGACGAGGGCACGGGGACCCGAGGGTGTCTGCGGCCCCGCCCAGCCTGGCCGTGGACTTCGCCCTCCGGGGCCCTGCGGGCGGAGAGTGACGACAGGGAGAGACCGCGACAGAGAGAGGTGCTGGGGAAAGAAAAATAGACCTCGAGGAGAGGAGACGCCGCTAGACGCCAAGAGAGGGGCAAAGCGCAGCAGGGCGCACAGAAGAGACGTCCGGAGAGTCCAGGGCGAGGAGCCAGAGAGCACCGCGCGGCCGTCCACACTCGCCCACTCACGCTGAACTCGCTGGCAAGGATCGCCCCCTCCCGGCCGCCCCGCGCCTCCAGCTGCTCCACGAAACTCCGTGCCGCGTCCAAGCTTCGGCTCATGGCGCCGCTGGCCAGCGAGATCCGCTCCGCCGCTGCGTTCGGTGCTCTCAGCGAGTGTAGACAGTGCTGGAGGCGGACTGCCTCCTTTCTCGCCAGTCAATGGAAGCGCGCAGCGGCCGGCAGGGCGCGCCCCTCGGCCAATGACATTGAGAGGCCACTCCTGCCCCGCCCACAGGCGTCCGGACCCGGGCGGTGCCAGAGCCCTGGGTCCTCTCCGGCTGCGCCGGGGAAGTGAGTCCAGCGCGAGTGCTTCCCTTTTCGCGGCCGCCGCGCCGGCTGGCTGAGTCCGCAGAGTCTCACGACACTCCCTCATGCTTGGGCCCGGGATTCGCGGCCAGGACGACCTCCCTCCGAGTCCGGCGCTGGGTGAACGGTCACGCGCCCTAGCCTGGCTTCCCGGACTGTCTCCTGGGAGCTAGGCTGGCTCGGCGTCCGAGCCAGGGTGGGTCGGCAGCTATGAATGGAGAGGGCCGCCGAGGTCGAGCTGCAGCTTCTGCGTCGGGGACCCCGGGCGGGTGGAGTCCGCGCTGTGCGCTCCGACAGGGTTCGAGGGAGGTCAGGCGGGATAGCCGCGGGGAAAAATGACACTGCGGCACCTGTGCTGTGGGAAAGACCGAGTGGAGGCGAATGCTTCCGTATTGATGTATTTCCTGAGGTTCCTTCTTTTTCTGGGTCAGGCTGGGTGGGGGCACCAGGATCCAGTCCTAATTTGAGGAGTTCAACCCGCAAAAACCTGGTATGAAACTGAGAACTGAGGCCCTGGAAGTGGGTTCCAGGGGACAAGACGTTCTCAACACTTTTGTGTGTGTGTGTGAGCAAGATCAGCCCTGAGCTAACATCCATGCCAATCCTCCTCTTTTTGCTGAGGAAGACCAGCTCTGAGCTAACATCTATTGCCAATCTGCCTCCGTTTTTTTTTTCCCCCCGAAGCCCCAGTAGATAGTTGTATGTCATGGTTGCACGCAGCCTCAGCATGGCCAGTAGATAGTTGTATGTCATGGTTGCACGCAGCCTCAGCATGGCCGGAGAAGCGGTGTGTTGGTGCGTGCCCAGGATCTGAAACCGGGCCGCCAGTAGCAGAGCGCGTGCACCCAACCGCTAAACCACGGGGCGGCCCCTCTCAACACTTCTAAAGAGCTTCTGTTTTCTTCTCTCCCTGCACCCTCATCTTCAGAAAATGTGCAGGAAAAGGCCAGAGTACAACTGCTGCTCCAGCTTCGGGGGTCACCAAGGGAAGGCTGGAGAGAGCAGAGAGGAGCCTCAAGGCCCGGCCAAGGACGGGCCTGGCTAGATGGTCTAGCCCACACCTCACCCGGGTCATGGAATGAATTTCGGGGAGGGGTGTCTTTGGATAGGGTGTCTGTGGAGTCTAGTTTGAGGTCACTGAGGTGTCGAAGGGTGACCACTGGGTGAGGTGAACTTACTTTCAGGCACTGAGGAGTCAACAAGGTCATTGGTTCAGGTTGTGGATTGAATTCATTAGGGGGTTATCAGAGCATTGTCAGGGATGGGCAAACTCTTTCTTAAAGGGCGTTGGTCTCTAGTCTCTGTCCCAGCTACTCAACTCTGCTTTGGCAGTGTGAAAGAAGCCACAGGCAATATGTAAAGGAATGAGTGTGGCTATATCCAATAAAACTTTGTTTTTGGACAAATTTTAATTTCATGTGTCATATATATATATATATATGTATGTATATATATATATGCAGGCTGTGGTTTGCTGACCCCAGTTTAAGTGACTGAGAGGTCACTTAAAGTGGGTCAGTGGGGATGTTTCATTTATTGAGGGGCTAGTGGGGGTCACCGTGGACTCAGTGTTTATCAGTTTCATCTTTGAGTGTTCAAAGGTGATCAGTAGTGATCACTGAGGATGGACATTGACAGTGAATTCACTGGAGGTAGTGGGAGTCCTTGGATGTTCATGAGGGACCGTCAGTGGATGTTAATGGTAGTCTTTGGGAGGTCAGTGAGAGAGAGTGAAAGTAAGTGAGGACTCATTGGGATTTGGAGTACTTTAGTTACTTTACTTACTTAAAAGTAACTTCAGTTACTTTAAGTAACTGAAGAGTCAAAAGAAGGGAAGGTCATTGAGGGCTCCTACTCAGGGCATGACAGGGAAATGTGGAATCACTGAGATTTTGTGGATAGTCATGGGTTGTTGGAAACTCAGGGTGGTGGGATACAGAAGTATCAGTGATCTCTGAGAAAATATGGAGACTGCTGAGTTCCTGAGTACTTATGGGCACTAATGGTAGTCATTCGAGACTAGTGGATACCAGAGTAAACAGGGAAGAGTCTCTGAGGCGTCATGAAGGTCTTTGTGGACCCTAGTGGTAGTGGATGTCATTGGAGGTCAAAGTCACTGGAAACTGGTGGTACCTGGGGAGCAGAAACAACATTGAGGGGTCAGTGGGCCATCCATGTCATCTATTGGTGGTGACTAGGGTTTGGCTAGCTGGGGATCTTCTGTCTGACTGATGGGGTGGGTGTATCTATCTATCTGTCCACTTGGCTTGAGGGTCTGTCTATCCAGCTGGCTTGGGAGGCTCTGTCTATCCCGCTGAGGGCCTTTCTCATCGGCTGGGGTCTCTCTTACTGGCAGAAGGTACGTCTGTCAAGCTGAGAGTCTGGCCGGCTAGTTGACTAGGTGGATGGGGTGTCTTTCTGCTTGGGTAACATCTCTTTGTCCAGTTGGGAGGTTCTGTCTGTCCTTGAGGGATTGCGTTTGATTGGCTGCGGTCACCTTCCAATTGGCTGGAGTGGAGAGTGTCCATGTGTCTGGCCACATGTCTTTCTGGATCTGGGGATCTTCCCATCTGTGCAAGAATCTGTCTATTTGTCTGGCTGGATGTCCCACTGGAGTCTGTCTCCCTGGGATTCTGTTCATCTACAAGTCTGTCTGTATGTCTGGGGATTTTTCTGCCTATCTGGCTGAGATCTTATGGCCTAAACCATGGTGGTTCACCTTCCAGCTAGGTTAGGTGTCCTTCTGGCTGCATGTCCACCCCCAGCCCACGGCCCCATCTCATTGTTGATCCTGCTTGCCCTCCTGACACTGACCATCCCCCCATGCCTCTCCAAACATCCCAACTCTCCAGGCTTGCCCTTCACTCAGCTCAGGCCGGGTGTGGGCGATGTGCAGACTCTCAAGACCTCCTCCAGCAGCCCTGGCCCACCCCACTTCCCTTCTCCCAGAGGACTGCAAGCTGTTTTCTTACAATGGGACTCGCTACTGCTGGTGGCCCTCTTGTTCACCCTACTGGCGGCAATCCTGTGCAGCAGTAGCAGCTGGCACTGCCCCTGTAGATCCTGAGCACCCTGATGCCCACATGCCACATGCCAGTCTGCTACCTGCTTGCCAGCTCAGAGTGCTTGCTGAACTGGCCACTCAATAGAGCCAAGTGGACAGGGTGCTGGAGGGCGCTGGGGGAAGCTTTTGCAGTGCTATGAGGAAGTCAGCCTGTGCTGATGTTGCAAGGGGGAAAATCGTAACTTTACAGTGGAGAAACCTGGCAGATATTACCTCAACCCTGTGTTGGGTCACAACCTCAGGAGCATTGTCCCAAGTGTAATCTGAAACCAGCCCTCCCCACTCCCCC